CTGACGGCATCTCCCTGCTCATGGCCAGGCCCCAGCGTCCCGGTAAAGGGCTTCACGCCCCTCTCTGTGCCAGCGGTGCCGGTTGCTGTGGTTCTTGCATCCTTAATTTTGCCTAAGGCAGTGGGCCTGCTGCCTCTGCTTGTCCCGAGGATCTGGAGGGGCTGTCCCTTTCCCGGGCAGCCATATCTCCCTGAGGTGATGCTGGCTTTCCCTGCTTGTTACAAACGGCCCCACATCTCGTGGCAGGCTCCGGTGGGCCTTCAAGTGGCTGTTACACCATGGGGCTCGGCGCGGTGTGAAATGCTCTCCCTCCCCCAAGCACTGTTCTTGCTCCCTGCGGTCTGAGACGGTGTTTTCATCGGTGGCAGGCCCAGAGGGAGAGCCCAGGAGAGCCATCCCTCTACGCGATCAACACGGTGCAGGTCAACGGCCAGGAGAAGTACCTTATAGTAAGTGAGGGAGAGGAGGGAATCGCTGCTGTGTCTGGCTCGCAGCAGGGCTGGGCTGTGTCCCCCCGTGTTGCTGCAGCACCGTCGCAGCACCCCTGGGCTGGGCTGTGGCTGCGGTCATGCCAGCACAGTCTGTGTGCCGGTGTGAGAAACAGCCGACCTCCTCGAGACGGTGCTGTGCCACGTGTCCTTCCCCCTCCTGCTCCAGCTGTATGAGGTCAGCACCGACACGAAGTTCGTGAAGCCGTCGGATGCAGCCTGCGATGTCGCCTGCTTCATCTATGACCTAAGCGACCCCAGATCCTTCAGCTACTGTGCCAGTATTTATAAGGTAGCTGGCAGGGGCCCGGTGGGACTTCAGCCTTTGCATGGCAGCCCCACATCTCCCAGGGGTTGGTCGCTTATCCCTGGACCTTCTCCCTGTCTCTGCAGCAACACTACATGGACAGCCAGATCCCCTGTGTCTTCGTGGCCTCCAAGACAGACCTGCCAGAAGCAAGTCAGCAGCCCGCGCTCTCCCCTGCCGAGTTCTGCTACAAGCACTGCCTCCCACCACCCTTCCTCTTCTCCTGCCACAGCCAAGGCCCGCCCGGCACCACCATCTACACCAAGCTGGCCACCGCTGCCACCTTCCCGTTAGTATCCTTCCTGCAGAGGGGGTCTCGACTGGGAACAGAGCTTGGGGAGGGGAGCTGTGTCCGCACCCTGCCTCTGCTGCATTGCTTTTGGTTTGGTTCTCTCTACTTCTTGGTGTCATCTGCTCATACAAGTAATTGAAACGAAAGGGCCACTTCTTCCCCTGCTCGGAGAGGATGGAGGCTCTCTTCTGCCTTGTGTGTCTCTGGCAGATTTATTAGATAGATCCTGCCACAGGAGTTTTTATTTTTGAAACTAAGATAAAAAATGCTGAAGGGGAATAGCCAGCCTAGTTTGCCAAGGCCCACAGAGGGGCAGCTATTTTCTCCTGATGAGGTGGATCAGACTGAAAAAGAGGTCAGTGAAGCGAGACCTCTGTTTGCACAGCCTCCCTTTGGGAAGGAACCGCACCTGAACGGGGCTGGGTAACGGGGTAGGGTGGCAGCCAGGCCGGTCACGGGCAGCGAGGGGAGATCTGGGAAGGAGAACATGTCTGCGTGTGGCATCGCTCCGCTCGAGGGGCAGGGAGGGGGCTGAAACCTGAGTGTCGGTGCAGTGCTGGAGGCAGAGCCCTCCCGGGGAGAACGTGTGGGTGCGTTGGAAGACAGCATGGGATTACTAGTGAGTGGTTTTCCCTCTAGCTTCTTTTCAATAAACAACTTTATTTTTAGAGCTGACGCTTTTTTTTTCCCCCTCTGCAGTATTAAAATTTAAATATTCTTAATATATCTTAGGGTATGTGGTATAAATAAATAACGGTGTAATGGAGGGCCAGGGATTGGCTGTTCTCCCCCAGTTTAGTGGAGAATGAATAATGGATATGTCTTTCGTCCTCGGAGAGGAGCATGTTGATGCAGGACAGCACGTGTTTAGGAAGGGAATGTGTGCGCTCGGGCAGGACTGGGCCCCTTCCCTCGCTGCCCTTAGGTCAGTGTCACCGGCTGTTAGGCCTGTGCCTCCGCCTGCATCCCCTTCTGGGTCTCTGTGCACTTGGAGTTGTAAAAGCAGCTTGACCTAGAAAGGAACGTACATACCTCTTTGCTCGTACTAATTATTTAGGTGTTGGTGTGCTATTTCCAGACCATGGGAGGGTAAAGCCACAT